AGGGCCACCGCGCCGAGGCCTGCAGCACGCGCGCCGCTTCGACTGCTCTCTCGACGGGCCGAGATCCAGCCCAGCCCCTCTGAGGGCGCAGAAATGAAGGAGCCCTGGGACACACAAAAAAACACAAATGTCAGGATCCCCCATATTTTCCCATATTTTCTGGGTTTTCGTCTTCCCCCCCACTTCCCCATATTTTCCTTGGAGTCGACGATTAATTGTGTCTGTGTGTTTCTTTCCCTCCTGAAGAAATGCGGCGGCAATGGAGGCTCATCTTCGGCGGGGGGAGCAGGGTTGGAGTCGAGCAATTCTGTAGTTCATCCCCTGTGCGGGTCATTGGCCCCAGGGTGGTGTGTATTGGGACCCCAAAGGGGCCCGCACGGCGCCCAGTTGGGGTCTGTGGCGGCGGCCCGCGGACGCGGCCCGGGGCGGCCGCGGCGCGCCGAGACGGCCTGCGCCCCTCCCACGGCGGCAGCAGGTGGGCGGCCGGAAGCGCCGCGGAGGGGGGAGGAGAGCGCCCGACCGAGCAGGGCCCCTGTCTTGGTCCGGGCGGGTCCCGAAGGCCTGCAATGCGTCGCAGGCAGCGAGACGAGGGCCGGCACGGGCTGCGTGCAGCCTAGAAGTGGGAAGCACACGCGGGGCTAGCACACGTCCCGAGGATCATCGGGTCCTGCCACTGGGGCCCAGCAGGAAGAGCGCCCGCGTGCCCCGCGGCGGAGGGCCGCCCCCCGCCCCCCCCCCGCCCCCCTCGCGAGCAAGCAAGAGACCTCCTGGCCCTGGGAGTGGCGCCCCAGAGAAGCCCCCTCTGGGCGGTTCGAGCTCGGAACCGACGAGTGTCGTGCTGAGACCCCTTGGGGGGCACGACCCTCCCCGAGCATCCGGAGCGTCGAGAATGGGGTGCTCGTTTTTTGGGGGGTGACGAACGTGGTATGGACTCTTCGTGCACTCTTCGTGCACCTTTTGGGCCCGCGGTGGCAGTACAGGGTGCGCTGAGGGCCCCTGTAGAGCCACTTTCCTGCAATCCCCGGCCCACTCCACGTTTACGGCCCCTCCCCCCGCTGCCTCCCGCCTGGCCAAGCCTGGCGGCGCGCACAGGGGAGGAGGGGGAGGGGGGAAGGCTTCTTAGAAGGAGGCTGCTTCTCAGAAGGTACGGGCCTTCCATCTCTAGACAAGGCCCGCGCCTTCTGAGAAACAGGGGTGCTTGTAAGGAACCTTCCCCCCTTCTCCCGTCTGCGCGTGGCTGACAAGCAAATCAGACTGGGGCTTCTGACCGGGGCTATGCGGCGCCGGGCCGCGCCGAATGTCGGGGGCGACGCCGCGCGCAGCTCCGCGGTCCCCCCCCTCTTTTGTCCGCGAGGGGGGACCTAGTGGGCTGCGCGCAGGCAGGCCCCTCGAGGCACTCCTGGCTGGGGCTCCGCAGGCCCCCCAAGCCGCGGCCCCGAGCTCCTGCTCGGCGTGTCGCAGCGGCGGCCCTGGCGACGCGCCACGCCCCGCAAGCCGAGGGCGTGTCTCGCTCCGCTCCTCGGGGCGGCAGGCTGGAAAACAGCTCGGCAACGCCGACGCTCGGGGACCCGGGGCGCGGTCAGCGTGTCGCGCTGCAGCGTGGGCCAGAGCCGGCGGCGTAGCACGCCAAGCAAAAGTTCCCGACCGCAGCCTGGGTCGGCCTCGAACGGTCCCAACGCCCCGTCGGCGCCGCCAGAGGGTGCCGAGGCTGCCGGGCCTGGCCTGCCCTCCGAGGCTGCCTGTGTGCAGCCCCAGGCCCTTCGAGGATCCCGAGAGCGTGTCTTGGCGCCACTGTGTGCCTGTCCACCGAGGCCCTGCAATGCGACGCAGGCAGCGAGATGAGGGCCGTCACGGGCTGCGTGCATCCGCGCGGGGATTGGGCACAGGCTGGGCTAGCACACGTCCCGAGGATCATCGGGCCCTGCCACTGAATCCCAGCAGGAAGAGCGCCCGCGCGCCCCGCGGCGGAGGGCCGCCAGGCACGGCCGATCTGGGACGCGGTCAGGCAGGTGAACCCGCCTGCGGCGGGGAGGGGGCGGGTCGCCTCCGCCTGCTCGGCCGAGGTGTCCTTCCAGCTCGTCCGCTGCTCTCCTCCGCCTCCGCCCCTGGGCCCTCGCTCCTGCTCCCGCGGGAGGTCCTGCTGCCCCTTGGCGCCGCTGCTGCTGCCGCTCCCGCCCCTCGTTCCGCTCCGTCTCCTCCCCTCCTCGAGTCGAGTCCGACGTTCGAGCTGACTCGCACTTCGAGCTCGGCCGTCGGCGGTCGAGCCTGGGCAGGCCTGCGCAGGAACTGCGACCCCTCGAGTGCGGCGTCCGAGTCGGCTCGACGACTCGAAGTCTGCACTCGGCTTGGGGGCCGCCCTGCCCACGGGCGCCCCTCCCCTCCCGCCTGCCCGCCAGCCCTTTAGGGTGAAGTCGGGCCTGTCCCCCTACAGGTGGGATTTTCGAACAAAAATTTAAAAGTACCCCAACAATAATCAATACATAGTCCAAACATAGTCAGGGGATTTTTTTTTTTTTTTTTTTTTTTTTTTGTAAATCGTATTTTCTGACCTTTGGGGTATTTTTTGGGTACTTCTTTTATTTCGTCGAAGCTCCCCCTGTAGGGGGACACGCCCGACATAACGTTACGGCCGCCCCGCCCACGCGAGGATGAGCAGAACAAGGCAGGCGCTCGGGGAGCGGGGCCCCACCCCAGGGCGCGCCGTCAACACGCAATGGGACCGGGCAGGGCCTCCTCCTCCTCCTTCTCCTTCCTCCTCCTCCTCCCTCCCTCCTCCCTCCTCCCTCCTCCCTCCTCCTCCTCCTCCCCCCCCCGGGAGCGAGGCCACGGGGGAGGGGGGGGCACAAGGGAAGTCAGTGCGGCCGCGCAGCAGCGTGTGCCCGTGATCTCGACGAAGGGGGGGTCGAAGAGGCACAGCCCTGGACGCGAGCACGGGTCAACCTGGGACAGAGCCATGGCATCGAGCGTCCCTGATTGGGCTCGTATCGGACACGAGCACAGGCGCACGACAACGTACTCTCCTGCCCTTCTACCCCTTTGGCTTTCTCGCGTGGTGCGCTGAACAACGGACGTCATGGGAAATAAAAATACTTGCAAGCTGTTCCTTGGAGAGCCACTGGAGAAAGGAGACTCGGGAGTAGCCAGCAACAGCGGCAACGGACGCAAGGAGAAGGAGAAGCAGCGGGAAAACAGGCCCGATCCCAGGATACCCGAGCATGTAGTGGATATGGTCGCCCCCCAAAGGCGCTCTAACTTATGCGACAATGACCAGTGGGCCCAGCGAAACGGCGGGTGCGCTGCAGACCGATTTGAGGACAGTCTGGACGGAGGGGGGACTACCCTGTGCCCCCGATGATAACCACCGGGGATCAGCAAGTTCGGATCTCGGGGGGGGGACACTTTAACCTTTGGTCCTGGCATGTCTTGGCCGGAGATAATCAACTCTCAGGGCTTAAAGGGGGTAGACTTTCTTATCGGGGGCGTGGGGTGAACTCCTCCTTGGGGAGGACATCAAGTTGTACCGGCCCAGTGACGTCTGGCGAGCCCCAAGCCCGTCGCACTGCCGCTCGCAGCTCGGGCCAGAAGCTGCGTGCGCGGCCCCCCCCCCCCCCGCCCTGGTCGGAGCCCCTGGGCCCAAAGAGTAGATGCCCCGGCATTCCCCCGTCGGGCTGGACCCGGAACCCTGACGGTGTCGAGTAGCTATCCGACGCGTGGCGAGGACGAGGCCGTCGGCGAGCGCTCATGAGACAGTGTCGGCTTCAAGCAAGCCGCGATCGAAGACCCGAGTGAAAAGGGTCCAGAGAGAGAGAGCGCGTAAATCTACCCAAGCGACGGACGGCCCTGCAGCGTCCCGCGCAACGCCCCCACAGCCATCTCAGGGCCCACTCGTTAAAAAATTGATCCCCCAGTCGCACGCTCTGACCAGAACTTCGGGAGGGGGGGAGAGACCGGCCGTGGCGACGAGGACGCTCCACGAGGCCCCAGAAGCGCCCCAAACCGTTTGTTGTTCCAGTCGTATTTTATTAATGACCACATCACAGAAATTATTTCGGGCACCCAGAGAAGTATCGAAACAGTGTCGAACGAATATCGCCTCCCCGGGCCCGACACGTGAAAACCCTCCAATGTTGGTTTATTCCTGATGCTCGAAATTTTTCCTGGTGATCAAGGCTAAGATAGGTTGGAACATCATAACCCAAACATCGATCCTCG